GACATTAAGAAAAATATTTTTTAATTTATAGTTTCAAGCTTGAGCTACAGAGTTTAGGAGGTTTAAGAGCACCCAGTTTAAGAGGTTTTTTGCTGGTTGGTTGGGTTTATTTTTTGGTCGTGGGGCCTGAACTCTGGGCCTGGGCGCTGTCCCTCAGCTCTTCAGCTCAAGGTTATCGCTCTACCAACTTGAGTCACATCAATACTTCCAGGTTTTTCTGCTTATGTGATGCTGAGGAATCGAACCCAGGGCCTCATGAATGCCAAGGCAAGCACTCTAGCACTGAGCCATCTTCCCAGCCCAAGTTTAAGAATTTTAGGTCATAATTGGAACCAGGGAGCTGCGTCTTAAATCTCATTTTAGAATTTGATGAAATAAGACATGTTACTACATTTTCCCATAATAATATCAAAAGGCCCTCTAAAATAAAAATTAATTAATATAACTTAGAAGATTTTAATATTCTCACAACTCTTCAGAGAGTAAATTCCAGAGAAAATCTGGGCTATATTTCAAGTCACTTACATTACACATTTTCCAGTAAATTTACACATGAGAAAACCTTAGCCAGTAAAGGTACTTGTAGAAATTAATCACCTATCAAGCTCACCTTTTTCTTAATAAATATGAGAATAAAACAGATTGTAATGAGGCTGGATGGCACGGAGTCTTCCTAATTAATAGTAAGCAGGAAAAGACTGCCCACCCCGCACATCCAACCTGCACAGCTGACAAGGGGAAAGTGAGTCAGCCCCATCAGCCACTAAATGACTCTCAGAAGGCATGTCTTCATTCCCAGACAGAAGTCTCATTAAAGCACAAATTAGCATCAAGGACATAAAACAAAGACACAAAAATTAAGTCAAAGAAATGAAGTTTCAGACAAGGGTAAAAATTATCTTTGGCTTCTCTAAAAATAAGCTATATCTAGGGATCCTGCCCCCCCCCCATCTCTGCTCCTTCTAGGTGCTGAACCCTGAAGCCCAGGCCCAAGGTCAACGGGCAACCAGAATAACCACCTGCTAAGCGAGGATCCTACATCCTGGAGTCCCTTTGCTGGGTCAAGAGAACCCAGGAATCCGTGTGAACAGCCCTCATGTAAGAAGCACTGGTGATCTCCTGCAACTGATTTCTCAAAGTAAGACTAATTTAAAGTGAACAGTAAGCTAGGCTTGCTCCTGTAATACCAAGACAGTCAGGAGGCTAAGATTTGAGGATACAGTTTGAAGCCAATCAACCAGTAAAAAGTAGAGGTGTGAGGCAAGTGGTAGATGCCAGCCTTGAGAGAGGAAAAAAAATGCCGAGGGACAGGACTCAGGATCCTGAGTTCCATCTCCAGCTCTAGTGCAAAAACAAAAAATAGGAGGCTCTATGTGGATTTTGAGAACAATGACCTCATTCTCCATCCTCTATTGTCCCATTACACCGGAGGCTCCCTACACTGCTTATTTCCACCACCTCCCTCACAAAGGCAGTAGAATTCAGAAGGGGGAGAAATCTGTTAGCTTAGCTTAAACCTAAGTCAGAGACAGCCTTGTGCATGACATACAGCTCTCTAAACAGCTGGGGATCTGACTCGTTCAGTTGGCCATCAAAGCCAACTGCCCGCCAACATTACACACTGACCAAAATGGGAAAATGACACACCTTTGTCAACACAGGCACCTTTTAAAATCGCTTCTGCCAGCTGCTCACAGATGACCCTCCAGGATCCACTTCAGAGCTACTCAGCTGTCACACTGGCCATGCAGGAAAAAGACTCAGCCCACCCAGAGAAAGTACTGGAAACTGCTAAGGGGCCAAAAGGTACACTCGGGCACTCCTTGGTAACAACCTAGAGAAACTACAATTCTTAAAGTGGGGGGCCAAGTGTCCAAAACAGCCAGCAGATGAATTTCTGCCAGGGAAGGCCTGGTTCCCCGCAGCAATAGCCGGGCTAGGTAACAGCCTATGGCCACATCAAGAGAAAGCCTGTGAGTCCAGTAGTCGTGCCAGCCTGTGCACTGAGTGAGAAGTCTCGGGCTAAAAATCTCAGCCAGGAGCTGCCCCCTGGCTGAAGCTTACACTAGCTACCAGAGGCTTCAGATGGCACATGGAGGCTGCCTGGGCTAAGAGAGGCAGCAGAGCTTGGAAAGCTTGTAGTCAAAGACCTGTGAGAAACTTGTCAAACAACCCCAACTTGAAAATCCCTTATTGCTTCTCACACCCTGGTCTCTACATTGGGGGAGAGGTCTGGATTTTCCTCTGAAGGGCACTAGACTGGCATGCAAGCTTCCTCTATCAGAGGTGACAGAGCCAGGCCACCAACAAGCCCAGGGCCAACCTCAGACAGCCAGGTCCCTTCCTAGACCCTTTGGATGCTATTTGAGTTGTTTTTGTTCCTGTCCTTTTCTTTTCTTTTGGTGCCAATCCTGTGGCTTGAACTCAGGACCGGGCACTGTCCCTGAGCTTCTCTGTACTCAAAGCTAGCACTCTACCACTTAAGCCACATACCAGCGATTTCTATACATGTGGAATGAGGAATTGAACCCAGGGCTTCATGCATGCTAGGCAAGCCTTCTACCACTAAGCCATATTCCCAGCCCTGTCTGTGTCTTATACAGCCCCGTGTCAATACTGGGGCTGCTTTGAACTCAGGGCCTCACTTAACTGGCTCAAGGTTTGTGCTCTACCACTTAAGCCTCAGTGCCACTTCAGACTTTTGGGTGATTAATTCAAGGTAAAGTCTCAAGGACTTTCAGGGATGGCTTCAAACCTGAGTGGTTGGATCTTAGCCTCCAAAGAAGCTAGGATTACAGGCATGAACACCAAGGTCTAGCCCTTTGAATGCCTTTCCATCCTCCTTTTGCCTGAAGGGCAAGATCCCATTTTGGAACCACAAAAGCAAATCTGACTCCATCTTCCCAAAAGCACCCAGACCTCAAAAAAAGTTGGTTGGATAAATATCCCATTTTTCTGCATTTATCTCAAATCAGGCTCTTGCCACACTGAAGCTACATACATGCCCACAACAATGACTTGGAGCTAGGAGCCAGCCGTGAAGACAAAAGCTGGAAAGCCAAGCCTCTCCCTCAATGCATTGAAAAGCCTAACATGGTTTTGGCTTCAATTCCCTACAGAATTGCTTTGTGAGGCCTTAGGACAGAATAACTTGATCAAACTACTTTGACATTTTCATTTTCCAAGTACTATGTTTTATTTTCCACCTTATATCCTTAAAGTTACAGGCAACCCTCAATGTTTAAAGCACCACCTTTATAACGCTAGAAACATTCTTTAACATGCAACCTTTGTTACAACTATAACCAAAATTTTTTTCCCCTTCTCCAATTGAATCAACCACTATTTCATGTTTTTAAAAAAAATGCTCCAAAGAATTTGGAGGAAGAGATATATCCAATTATTTTAACCAGCTTAAATATTTTGCCTGGAATATTTAATTTGATTGTGTACATCCAGTTCTGTAGTTCCTCACGCCTCGGGCAGCATTTCAACCTCACCAAGGGCCCTTCTCATAAACACAAATTTCCATACTCCACACCCAGAGATGGACTCTGGAATCCAGGGAGGGACCTTGGAATCTGTAGTAACCTCCAGCAATTCCAAAGACAAAACAAAATGTGACATACAATTACTAAGTAAACAGGGACTGAAATACCAGTGTTTGGTCCTAAACCTAGTCTTTTTTTTTTTTTTGGTCCATCACGGGGCTTGAATTCTGAGTCTGGGCATTGTCCGTGTGCTCTTCAGCTCAAGGCTAGCACTTTACCACTTAAGCCACAGTGCCACTTCCATTTTTCTGGTGGTTTACTGGAGATCAGAGTCTCATGGACTTTTCCTGCTGAGCTGGCTTTGAACCGTGATCCTCAGATCTTAGCCTCCTGAGCAGCTAGGATTACAGGCGTGAGCTACCAGCCGGTCCTAAACTAGTCTTAGCATAAACCTAAGTAGGACTGGGAAACATGTCACAGTCTTGGCTGAGGGGTGGGGGCACTGCTCAATGACAGAACAGCCCGGGATTCCTTCCCTGGCAATGTAAAAACTAACCACAAAAATGTAGTAATCTTAGCTACTCAGGAAGATGAAATCTGAGGATCACAGTTCATAGCCAGCCCAGGCAGAAAATGGTCTGTAAGACTCTCATCTCCAATTAATCACCCAAAACCCAGAAGTGAAGCTGTGGCTCAAGTGAGAGTGTTAGCCTAGATCACAAAAGCTCACAGATAGCACTCAGACCCTGAGTTTGAGCCCCAGGACCAGCACAAATATAGATTATTGTTTTCCTTTTAAGAGCATTCCAGGTGAATTTGGTAAACATTAAGAAATGTTTCTTAACTAAAGAAAAGATTTCTTTGTACAACTACTTAAAAGATAATAATGTTAAAATGTTAAAAAAAAATAAACTGAAAAAAAAAAAGGTTTCAGTCACAGCTTTGCAGAAACTATGCAATCCTCACAAAGACTTGGCATTTCCTGAGGCAATATACATGACCCTCAAACTTGCCATGTGACAGAAAGAAGCCTGGGTATAATAGTGGTGCAAGGTTGCCCAGAAAGTGTTCATCTGAGTGAATGCAGAATAGCCCAGAAGCCATTAGAAAACAGAGTTGTTACAATAAGCAACGCATAAGCAAAGCAGCTTCAGCGTGGCCTGGGGAAATCTACCTAGCCAGGCACCCTGGAAGATTTTCTGAGCTTCATTAGAAATGCATATACATCAGCTCTGGTTCTCCACCCCCCTACACACACACAGAATCTAAAGCTCTTCAAAACTTCTTTCTGGGGTTAATTTAACCACAAAAATCGGAGTGCTCTTAATTAAGAGGTTGGTAATGTACTTAAATTTGTCATTAGGTTGAGGTTTAAATGTAATTTCCTCTAAAAACTATTCTTGGGTCACAACTAGATTATTGTTCTGCCAGATAAGATAAAATTTAAGATAATTCCTAGAAAGCAACCCACTAGAGTTAGAACAGAGTCCATTTGGCTTTGGCACTCACCCCTGAGGCTGTTGGTTGTGTTGGAGAAGTATTTTTGCTGCAGTCATCTGAGTTAGAAGAGGTGGAAGTTGGAGTCATGGGGACAGGATTATTGCTATTACCTGCAAATTTCAAAATGAGTCATGTAAATATATGTGTATCTACTGTTGAAGTTGGCAAAAATTTTTTACAATCAAATGGCTTTTTATTATTACCAGAGCAAGCCTTGGACTTATTTATGTTTTTAGGTTTTCGTTTTCTGGTTTGAATTCCCTCTTTTTTCATAGCAAGTGGTCGAGGCACCTACAAAATGTTCACAAAGGACTTAAGTTTATTAAATACTATACAAAAAAAAAACTAAACCAAAGACACTGATACTGAAACTCCTCATTTAGAACAACCTGGAGCCTGGAGTGGTGGCACACACATCTAATCCCAGCATTGAACCAGGAAGATTTTGAGTCTCATGCACCCTGCGCTTAGAAATAAGGTTAAGTAAGGTCTGCCTCAAATAAACAAAAGAACTGAACATAAATTTTAGGCCAATTTCTATATATACTTAATAGATTCCACATATACAAAGAGTGTATATACATATACGTGTGTATATACATATACACACATACTGTATATACATTTTCCCATCCAATGTAGAGATTCCTTCAAAATGGAATGATTTCCCCAAAGAGAATTTTTTTCCACTTAAGGCTCACTGTTTGAAATAAATATTTACCGTGTGGTTGATTGTTGCTGGATGAATATCTTTAGTCCAAAGTGATGTATTCTTCCTAGAGCACCCTCTTTTCATAAGATTTAGATGTTGATAATATTTTGTGCAATCTTTCATAATGAGGCACAGAATTTTTTTAATTAAAACTATCCAATGTCTCCTTTGTACAAATAAACCAGTATTCAAAAAAAAAACTTTAAGATCTATAGTAGTTAAGTACATTTTCTAGTTTGTCTTTAAACTGGTTTGTTGTTTTTTTTTAATGAGTATTACTATGTTATCAATTGCAAGGTGCTCATTTCCACACTTCTAAAACTGAAATGTGTTTTAACAGTCTGTTAACAGGGCATTTGTGATAGTTTCCCCAGTCAACAGTTGTGTTTATTACTGATTCATAACCATTTTGTATGTGAAGACCATCTTCGATTGAATAAAATAATATACCATCTTCTAGTTCTTCACTTCCATATGCTGGGCATTTGCTGGTTGATTTTATAACAGAAATTGTACCAGCCGGATCCTAAACATGTACGTTACATTCATGAGTAGAACACTCATGAGGAGAGTAAGAGACGCACCCCGTGGAGTTTCATGTACAGTCCACAAGCGTTGCACACGGGTTCACCCTCCGCATTTCTGCGCCACAAGGTGGTGGTCGTGGTATGACAGTTGGCACAAGACAATCCAAGCCGCCGTGATGAAGGCTAGGAAAATCCGTAAGTAAATGATTGTTATGCAGGTTTTGGTGATTTTTATATGCTACACACATACATGCTAAGAGATCATGTCCCCACCCTCAACAAAACACATTGCTGACTTCTTATGAATAAAACGTCCCTTGAGAAAAACATCTGAAGTCTAATTAGGTTGATTTTCCTGGGCCCAGAAACTTCTGGGGGACCTCATCACATTCTAAATCCCACACATTTGATTTACATCTCTAGCCTGTTACTGTAGAACACAGAACGCTCTAGAGGCAACATGCTTGTTTCTTTAGATTCGCAGTTACTGCTCTTACATTTTTAGGGAAAATTTTAAGATTCCTAAAATCTGGACACATAGTTAACATCCTGAAACACAGCAGAAGTAAGAACACAACAGGAACATAAGCATCTCTCTAATCTGTTCTCCTGTTCACTAACATGAAGGAGTCATGAGATAGTCACACATCAATGTGGCACGTGACTTCAGACGCTCTCCCTCCACCTGAAAACTGCAGATAAATAACCAAGTCTTTTTCTCAGATATATGTGGGAAAAATAACCCAGAAACTTTAAGGGCTTGTGAAAATGAGCAGCAACAAAAGAGCACAAATTTCCAGAAAGATGGTCCACAACTATCATTCCGAGTGTCTGCTGCGTGGAGTTGTGCTTATCCCTTTTACAAAGAATACAAGCAAATGTCTTCTACACTAGCTAGCACGGCCTCATACAACAGCAATACTGATTATTTTATTTGCCCTGTCAGTATGATATATCAACTTTTCTCCATACCAATGATTAGCTGGAATTCTGGGGACAGGTTACTTTGTTCGATAATATTTCATTTCTGTCTTCCTTTTATACCCATAACATATCCTTTAAATCACTGCACCTGAATTTTTAAGACAGTAATTTCTTCCTCAAAATGGCATAACATTTCTTTTTAAATTTAAATTTCTTTTTTACTTAAAAATATTTTCATAACCAGTTAAAAACAAAACTATTAGGAAAAATCAGGGGTCAAAGCAAATTTTAAGTTATAAAATGCAGATATATTTAAGAAATGAAATGATTAAAAATGGAGAAAAATATAAACAGGGCATACATTGGCTATTTGATGATCAGGACAGAGATTTCCAAATGATTTGATGAAAATCTAAAAGGTGAAATTTGAGTTTTGCATTTACAGTTCACACCCAGGTAGCATCATTCTTTAGATGTTAACACAGCATTTCCGAGAAGTTGGGCACTAACTAACTTAGCATTCAACTGCTTATAATATGTTAGAAATGAATATGCTTGGCTAATAGGTGAACTGTTTGAGGAACTGCTTTGCTAAAATGACTCCTTAAAGAATTAACAAAATTTTACACTTGATCAAGGCTTTCCCTTTCCCTCCCCTTTTCTGTGGCTAAAAGATATTAATTTTGTAGGCAAGCACTACTTTGTCTCCATTAATATTAAACCAGTCTAGGAGAGACAGTCAGATTCGTTTTATAAACGGGACATTTATGACAGTTTCCAGTGGAATTTGAAGCCAATGTGAAGCAAACTTGTTATCAGAAGTTGCCATTATAACAAAGAACTTTATGACTGTCAACTTCGGATCATAAGTGAAGCCAGTGCTCATAAACATGTGAAATGAAGGTGAACGGGTTATAAAAGTTGCCTGCAACAAGTGATCTCAGTTATATTCCTCACTGACAAGGAATTCAAGTTACACCATAAAGCTCTTATTTTGCAATGGATTACAAGTCCAAATTGGTTCTGTACTGCTGGCTAAACAAACTCCAGTTCAATATTGTTTCTGAAAACTAAGCCAGATCCATCAAAACCATAAATAAGAAGCCCACAAGGAGAACTAATTGTTAGTGACACACCCTACTATGGGTACAATTTATAACTCATTTACAAAGCACACTGGCTGACCTTGGTTACAGCCAAGACACCTGCCACACAAACAGAACTAATAGATTCAGAAATGTGGGGGGGGGGGGGGGGCTTTCTTGATACTAAGGATTATTTTCACTGGTAAATGCACAAAATAAGTGCAGGATCTAAATATAAATGTGAGTAAGCCTTATTTATAATTCAACAAGAACCCAAATTGCTACTATTACACTACATTTTTGCTCCGTAGGGAGGAAAAATGTTACCTTTCAAATCTCAGCACTCCACTCAAAGTGCCTTTCAAAAATAATAATTCCATTGTTCAAGCATTGTCTGCTTCATGAAAACAAGAAACTCCCTTGGGATATATATTTTCTAACTACTCTTTTTTTGGTCGTGGTGAGCATCCCTGCTGCCCTTCCCCAAGTAAAGAAATATTCAAGAGTTCAAGGCCAACCTGAGGCAGCTACTAAACCAGGCTGGGTCTCAAAGAAAGAAAAAGAATAACGAAAACCACAGGGAGTCACACACTGTTGGGTAAGGATATCTTTTAAAGAAAATTCAATCAAAGCTGTGGGAGAGTCTAACAAGTTTAAGGCACAAACACCCATTAAGTTAATCTCAGCCTCTCCTTGTTTTAAATGCATTAAAAACAAAACAACCATAAAACGAATTGCTTCTCTTTAAGGTGTCAGACTTACATTGTGATGCAATTATTTCACTTTAATCTACTTAACACAATTATATGTGTTGCATTTGTTCTGCTAATTGGAGTGAAACAAATAAATTACTTGAATACTTAAGATGTCTGGCATCTAACTGGAAAACCTTTTGCATTAAAAGGTATGTAGAGTATGAGTAGTTTGACTAAACAAATGTTAGCCTAAGAGTGGGGTCCCTACAGTGGCAGATAGCCCATCTTGCAATGATTGCGCAAAATAATCCCTGAAGAAAATCACAACTTTCCTACATAAAAACCATGGCAAAATGTGTTTGGAATGGGTCAATGTCCTTGATGTAAAACCATACAGACTCCACATTTTTCTCAAGATCTGTGGTTCTCTGAACTCAACAGATTTCAAAACAATCGAGGTTAAAACACATTCATTTTCACCAGACTCAAAAGACTCTGGCGTTTGGGGGCTAAAACCTTGTTTCTCTCAGGATAAATAAGGGATGGAGAAGTCCATCCAGAGAGAGAAAGACAAAGGAGCAAAAGGGAGCCCGGGCGAGGCTGTGGGGGGAGAGGGAAGAGGGTGGCGCACCCACAATGTTCCATTAGCCAATGGAGATTTCCGAATGAGCCTGGTTCCTTCGTTCCTAAGAGCTTGTGCATCCTTCCGGAATGATTTCAGTGCACAGGCCAAACACATCTAAAGGTACATAAACTAGAGATCTGGCACTTGAACAGCAGCTACGCCTACTCCTTCCTTTTGGGTCCCTGCAGAAGACCCGTGCGTGTGCGTCCAGTTTGGGGAGACGCGCAGCGGCTGTGGCCGGCCAAGCCGTCTCGGTGCTCCGTGGCTGGGACGGGGGTCTTGGCCGTGCCCGCACCTGTGCCCCGCGGACGGCGAGCACACTTACCACGCGCTTCTGCGGCTTGATGAGGGGCCGGCTGAGGCCGTTCATCTTGCTGTAGAGCCCGCAGGCGTTGCACAGGTAGTGGCCGGTGCCGTCCCGCCGCCACAGCGGCGTCTGGATGGAGCCGCAGTTCACGCACTCGCGGCTCTCGGGCAGGTCGTCCAGCAGGTCTGTGTTGGCAAAGGGGCGGCAGACAGGGTGAGGCCGGGATGCGGAAACAGGAATGGATCCCGGAACCTCCCGCAGGCAGGGCTGGAGCTGAGTCCCCGGGGGTCCTGGCCCTGGCCCCCCGGGACGGCGCTCCTCCCCACTGGATCTGCCCACCATTTGCCTCACACCCCTGCACCCCCTGGGTACCCCGGTAGCACGCCCTGGAGAGCCGGGGGCAGGGCTGGAGAGCCCCTCGGAGTCTCAGGTGAGTTCTGGGAAGGTCAGCTCCGTCTCCGGGCCTTCCACCCTAATTACCATCTACCACTTGCCAAAGCCGCACTAGGCGCAGGGTATTATTAACACTGACTACTGACCCCCCGCTGCCACCCACAAAAGTCCCCCGGACACACACGACGCCCTGTTACAAACTCTTATCACGTCGTTTTAGAGAAGTTTCTTTCCTTCTTCTTATGCAACTTTCTAATACAACAAACACCACCACCACCACTCCAGACAACTGATAAACTAAAATTACGGTTCTGTGGACACTTAACTAGCAAGGAGAAAGAGAAAAATCATATTATTTTTCTTAAGAAAAAAAAAACCCACTTAACAGTTTAAACAGATTTTGTTTGCACGCTACGAGGATGGAACACTAAAAAATATTCCGATTTCTAATCTGCAAACTTTCCTTACCAAATGTCGATGTTTTACAGATTAATGAAATTACCAAGGTCTGTCTAAAAATAAATAAAGCCATCTTCAACTTTTGATACAAAAATTCTAATTTATTCTTTGACTTTAGGTGTATTTAGCTGATACCTTTCTAATTATTTGGTTTTTGGAAATTCACAACTACTCTGCTCATTAAAAAAAAAAAACTAAGAGTAAGCCTTACAACAATTATTTCCCCTCAAGGTTAAATATAAAATAAATATATTCTCTCAAATGATATAAGTACTTATAAACCAGACTTGGGGAGCGGGGAATGTCTGTTCAGTGCTCTTTCTGTTAGAGTATCTAAATATTCTAATTTAGCTTTCTTAAATACTTAAGAGCCATATTTTAAAGTAAATAAACATCACACCTTAGGCTTTATTTGTACATTAAGTGTGACCTAAACCTTTCTACTCAGTCCAATTCTCCCCCCTACCCCACCCCCGTTAATAGTTTGTGTCTACCATCAATAGCACGGTAAAGAGATTTAAATACAATCAGCATTAAAATGCTTTAGTTCCCTAGAAACAGTCTCCCTGCTAAAAGAACCTGTGCTTCCTATTCCCTGAGGGGATTTTGTTTTATTTATCTATTTATTTATTGGTTTAAAAGAAACTAGCATCCTACCCAGGCTGGGTTCAAAGTTGTCTTGGGGATAATGCAACTTATAACACTTGACAAAAGATTTATTCTTCTCTGCCCTAAAACCTACTATTGGCCACGGCAAAACGGCAAAACGCACAGGACTTCAAGGACATTGAAGTTAAACAAGGTATTTGTCTTTGTTGTTGACTTTTAAAATGTTACCTATCCGAGCCCTGGTGCTCAGTTTGTGGGGCATTCCCTGCAAATCCCTGCCCTGTGCCTGGCCTCCAGAGCCTCCTTAACAGCTGGCCGGCGAATAAAGCCAGGCTCCAGGGAGAAGGAGTGAATGCCCCACACAGAAACTCCATAGACGTTTGAAACCCCAAAGGCAAAATTTAAGTCCACTGTGAATGAGTAAAATCTAGGAAACCTTGTTTTTACAAAATAAAAATTCTTACTCTTTTTCAATCTCTCAGCATGCTTGTCAAGCAGCACCAAATCTAACTCAAATGAAAAATGACTAAAGTGTTTTATAAAAATGACTAAATTTGATGGTGATGGCTGCACACATCTACTGTTCTAAGTGGTTAATTGGGTGTCTCTGGGGAGTGACAAGTTCCATCCAGGGGTCCTAGAAGGCCATCGAATGGAGCATGCTTAGGTGGGCATAAGGCCAGAGAATGAGGGGCTATGAAGACCAGGACTTTTTCAGGGCTAGCCCACCCCACCCTATCCACCAGCAGTCAAGGACAGGGTCAGAAAATTCGCTTCCAGAAGCCTTAATGAAGGGGTTAATAAAGCACTGCATTTGAGATTCAGTTCCTGTGTTTGCTCACACCAATTAATTTGCCTCCCAAAAAATGCTTGCTAAAAAAATATTATAGAGAATGAGGGAAGGGGGTGACATTGTCCAAAAAGAAGTGGACTTGTGCATCCCTTTTATAAACAAAAAAATTAAAGGACAATGAAAAAAGATGTAGCTGGAAGCTGTCAGTACAACTCCTGTTTATGAGTCCCTTGAGCTCTTACCCCAAATACTGGTGTGTCATTATGGTTTCTGAACTGACTATGCAAAATTTGTCCCTTCAACCACATGCCCCACTTTTTGTTAACTTTGACTCTACAACTTGTGCGTGTCACGCTCAGATGGTGAAAATAATGAGCCAAAGAATAAATTTATTTTTATCAACTTACTAATAAATAAAAATTATTAATAAAAATCAATACATTTAAATTAATAAATTTAAAGCAAAAACCAACTTCAACCTGCTCTCATCCTCTCCGTAAGGATTCCTCTAACAATTTCTACGATCATTTGTAGACTTGATTCTATCTTTGTACTAGCTTACCATCCTGAGACAAGCTTCAAACCTATGGGCTAGGAATTTCAAAGTCAAGCAAGCTACATCCTACACACACACAACATAGCCTTTTGACATTTCCCACAGGACCCCCAAACTGATACAAGTCACACGTTGCCAACTACTTCTCTGCTTAAGATTCCTGGTCTCTCTCCCAGCCTGGAGAATCCTAAGTAATAAGAAAAGTCCCTAAGTAATAAGAAAGTAAGAAAGGTAACAACCCCCTTTGCTCAAGTGATGAAGATATACCCCAGAGAGGGCTCAGATGGAAGGAAATCAGAGTGGCAAGGCTTAGAGACCTTTGAAGAAGTGAAGTTAAGGATGCATTCTCCAATCAGTGGCCTTCTCCCGGTGTTATGTCACTTTCCTCACTTTGGGGCCACTGGGACTTCCAGTGCTTTCCTCAACACATTACACTTAACTCGTCTAACCTAATGGACTCATTGTCTCTAAATGCTATCTAGATTAGTACCAGCATCTAGATCAGTAGGATCTAGTATCCTGTATTAGGATACCAGAAAACCCAGTAGGACCCATCAGTGTCTCCCTTCTTTCTCAGCCATTTCTGTGAATCTGGGGTCTCTTTCAACTCCCTCAAAACACCAAAAATTTTGTTTTTCCTTAGGAAAAGCTGCCTAATGGGTGAACTATCAAGAGAAGGGGGAAACCTGTGAATGCACTCAATTCTGAAGCACATCCTCCCCTCACAGCACAACCAAGCACTTTCCAAAATGAGGTGTTTTTTTTTTTTTTCTAATACTTGACCATTTTTGTCTTCCCAGAGGACACCAGAATGAAAGTATGGAAACTGGGCTAAACCAGGGAGGGCGCCTAATGTGCACAACTCCCAGACCTGGCCACGAGATGACCTCTGCTAGCTGATGCCAAGCCCAAAGCCCGCCAAGCCAGCTGTCCTTGGGGCTAGGTTCACTCAACTTGCAAATCTAAATGCCTTTCTCTCATCTTTCCTTTCCATTTCTCCCTTGAGGAGAGACAACTGGATCCCTAAGTCTCAGACTGTCCTCTACCTCCAAGACAACACACCACTCATGCCTGGAGAGTGAAACTGGATGAGCTCGTGAGTGCACGTGAGCGCACCTGGGGGGGGGGGGGAGGGGGGAAAAAGAGGCTGGATCACGTGCTCCAAACTTAGCCAAGAGCAATCTCACTTTTCTACTCCTCCGTACCTGGGCCACTGGTTGAGCTCAGGCCCCTGACAGCAACCTCACCTTTTCCCAGTTGCCCTCCCGAATCAATGTTCATCAAGACCCCGCACCCACCCACTCCTACCCCCCAAACTCACTTCTCTAAGGCATTGAGAACTAAATGCGCATTTGCTCTCTGGTCTGGACAGCAACCTGAGACAGTTCGCAGGAGACCATCACATCAATGCCATCAGCCCCTAGCCATCTTGCCACTAACACCCCCCCCCCCCAAAATCCATCATGGAAAGCCAGAGAACGTCGCCCGCAGTCGATCGGCTATTCCACAGCCCCCTGCACCACCCTACACCTTCAGGCCCGCATCTCCACCCTGCGGCGCGACTCTTACCTGCGCTGGGACCCCGAGGCACCGGGAGCGGGGCTCCGGCGCGGCTCTGGAGGCTGTGCAGCACCGGGGTTTCGAAGGGTCCTGTGGGCCAGGCCGGGGTCAGAGGCGCACCCATGTAAGGCGAGTAAGGACTCGAGTGGTGGTGATGGTGATGGTGGTACGTCCCGTTCAGAGGCCGCGCCGCCGACAGCGAGCTGTACTGGTGCTCCCGGCCGCCCATGGCCGCTAGGCTGCCGCCGCTGCCCGCGCCGCCGCTGCCCGCCGCCGCGTAGCCCCCGGGTTCCCGCGCCCCGCCGTTGGCCATGGGCGGGCTGGGCGAGTAGGGAAAGCGCGCCGACGCGTGCGCCGCGGCCGACCCGGCTCCGCCAGGCCCCGCGGCCCCGCCGCCCGCCGCGCCGCCGCCGCCGCCGTACGGGGGACTGTCAGCCGAGGCCTGGGGCCAACCGGGGTGCGAGGCCGCGCCCCCCGCGTGGTTGGTGGGCGCGCCGCCTGCCCCCTGCAGGTAGGGCAGGCCGGGCAGCATGGAACCCACACGGGTGGTGGGCACGTAGACTGGGGAGCTGGCGGCCGCTGCAGCCGCAGCCGCGGCGGCCGCGGAGTGCACGAAGCCGCTGGGCGCGCCGTCGTACGCGGCTGGGCCCTGGCTGGAGAGGGCGGCGAGGGTCTGGTACATCTCCTCGGGCTGCTCCGGGGCGAAGGGACTCAGCTTGGCGCCCCGGCTGGACCACAGCAACTTGCTGGCGGTGGCGGCCTGGTCGATGTCAGTGAAGAGCAATAGGTCCTCCCAGCTCGACAGAGCGCTCCCGGGGCCCGCGACCCCGGGCGCCGCAGGTCCGTGCGCCGCCCCGAAGGGATGCGACGCGTAGGGGCTGAGCAGCAGCGAGCGGGCCGGGGGTCCCGCCACCGCCTCGCCGTCGTCCTGCGGCGTCCTGCAGAGGCCGGCGGCGCAGGGCCCGCGCTCGGCGCCCCGGGAGCAGGGAGACGACGACGAGGAGATGGGGGAAGGTGGCGTGGAGGGCTCCCGCGCAGGAAAGGGCCCCGAGTCGCTGGCGTCCGCAACCGTGGTCCCGAAGCGCTTCGGCAGACACCAGCCGCCGTCAGTCAAGGCCATCCACCGTCCCGGGCTGCTGCGGTAAACTGACGTCTAGCTCCTGAGACACAGTGGGGTTGGGAGGGGAAACGGAGACCTTTTAAGATGGGGAGAATGGGGTCCCATCAAGCAGCCAGCGATCGGGTCCCTCGAAGGATCGGGACACCTCCTCCTTCCCCCCCCTCCCCGCGCCCACGCCCGTCCGCCCAGCTCAGATTCCCGCGCCCTTTCCCTACCCACCCCCTCGACAGCATCCTTCCTCCGCAGATCCCAGGGGCGGCGGCGGCGAGGCTGCCCCCAGGGCGCCCCCGATACACAAAGGGGAGTGAGCAGCCCCCTGCGGGGCCCCGTCGCACGCTGCCCCGCCCCCCGCGGGGACCCTCTCTCCCGGAGCGCGGCCTGCGTGCGGGGATGGTCCCCCCCCCGCGTGGGAATCGCGATCGAGGAAGACTTTAACCTGTCCCCGAAAACGAAACCTCAGCTTTTCATTAAAAAAAATACAAAATCGTTTTCCCAAAGCTTTCCGGACGGGGCGTAAGCAGCTGGAATGCGAGCCCCAGAGATCATGCTGCCCAGCCCTAGGAAAGTGGGGTGTCGGGGGTGGGGTGGGGGAACAGAGCTGGCAGCTCTGAAAAGAAATAGCGAGGGGAGCCGGCAGGGGCCGGAGTCTCCCTCCCCGGTGGCTCGGCCGCAGGACGCGCACCTAAGCCACGGGCCGGGTCGGTACGGCACCGGCGCGCGTCGGCCGGGCCACCCCGGCGCACCCCGCGGTCATCCGCAGCCGCAGACAGGCCCGACCGTTCCGGAATCCGACGTAGCGGGGTGGAGCGGAGCGCAAAGCCCAGGAGTGGGGGGGGGGAATGCCAGAAGTGGGGGGGGGGGCGTGAGGCCACCCCAAAGGGGAGAGCAGGAAGAATGACAGGGAGACTTGGAGGGAGTGGGGAGGCAGCCAAAGGCAGCGGACCGGGCCCCTTTCGGGGGTGGCTTGTCGAGCTCGCCCCGGTTCAGCGGACATAACCACGCTCAAATGAATGCCCACACACATACACAGACCGGGGGGCCAGAGAGCGAGGAAGAAGTTTCTCGGGCGGCCCCGACGATCGGCTCCCGCCCCTGGACGCCGAGATAACTCGGAGATAAGGCCGTGCGCAGATAAGCCCTTCGGGGAGAGGACGAGGCAGCACCAGTCGGGTCTCCCGGGGAGCCGGGAGCCGCGGCAGCGCTCCCGGACAAGCAAGGGGAGAGACACCCTCGGAGCCGGCCGCGGCCGGGAGCGGGCGGGAAAGCCGGAGGCCGAGGGGCCCGGGACGGGTTAGGAGTGCTGGGGGGGGAGGGGGGAGGTGGAGAGGGCAAAGGAAGGGGAAGGAGGAAAAAAAAATAGCAGGCAAACCTGGGGCGAGCGCTGTGCGTGGTGAAGGGCCGTGGCGGAGGGCTGGGCGCTCCCGGGCGCGGAGAGAGGCCGCGGGCGCCGGCGGGAGAGCGCGAGTCCGGGGTCTGCGCTTCACGGCTGGTGAATAAAAAGGAGAGAGGAGGCGCCTCTTACTGCCCTGCCGGAAAACTGCAGCCTGCGCTCCTGATTGGACTCACCGAGCCCTAAACAAACAGCGCTCGCCGAAGGGTGCCAGGCTGTGGGTCGGAACTGCGCGGAGCCAGCAGCTGGGCGCGGAGGTGAAGAGGCGGCGGAGGAGGAGGGGGGAGGAGGAGGGAGCGAGGGGAGGAGAGAAAAGAGGGTGGGGAGGGGACTGGCGGGGGAGGGGAGCGCGTCGCCCGGGCAGACAATGAGCGGCCGCGCTGCCTGCGGGCGTGGGCCCCGCGGCTAGCTCCGTGCGGGGTGTGGGATCGAATCCACCCGGGGAAGTAGGGGGGGGGGGGGAGAAACGTCCAACTCGAGGACGTTCCGGGGAGGGACGAAGGCGACAGGACGCCCACACCTGGTTGGCGACCCACACCCACCCCAGCTGCGGGGCTCGCTCTCGCGCCCCCAGTTGCGCACACGCGCGCGCGCGCGGGCACACACACACACACACACACGGGGAGGGAGAAAAACTGGGGCGCGGCTGCGGAGAGAGGGGCGCCCCCAAAATGTAGAGGAAAAGTGCCTGGCCCGGTTGTCCTTCCCCATTCCTCCCTCCAGGTTCAATGAGTTCTTGGCTTCCAAGTTGGACGTACCCGACCTTAAACTTTTCGGAACCCTATCTCGGGACCCTAAGGGCTCGGGTCACGGGGCCAGTCCGGGGATCGGGGTTCCTACGATCAAAAGTAAGAGCCCCCTTCCCCGTCCCCCCCTCCCCGCCGCCTTAACTCTCTCCTGATCTTTAAATACATACTAAATTCCTGGGCAGTTTGAGGAAAGTTCACGATGACACGCCCCAGCAAACCTTTGAGGTCGTTAAAACTGGGGGTCTTCCGAGGTGCGCCCATGGCCGCGGCCCCGGGAATGAACTTCTGTCCCGGGACAGGTCGGGAGTTTTGTGGTTTGCGATTGAGCTTTGCTTCCACTGCAGGTAAGACCTTGGAAAGCGGAGGGAAGGGGGTTCCTTTCCCCGACCCAGCGTGAAAGACCGTGTCCCAACCCCCACTCTCCCGCACACACCCCTCTTCTCTCTCCAAACGATGAGCACAACTGTGTACAAACTGATACGGTCTACAGCGGGCCAAGGCACTGGAAATGAACATCGCCGGGTTATCAGCGCCGATCTGTCAGCAGAGAGGCGCGCGCGGCTCGTCCGCCACAGGAGCTGTGATATATTGTCTCGCTCCCTTTCGCTCACAAAAAGGATTTCTTCCGACAGGCGTGAACCCAGAAGGCTGCCCAGAGAAGATTTCACTAGGACAGGAAGAGCTAGCATTGAAATTGGATTGTAACACTTTTCTTCCCCAGGTAAATCGAAGTCAATTGAGGGTTCTAAACACCAGTCTTCCTGAAAGCACTTGCTACTCTTGTTTTTGCTACTTTTTTTAAATGTGTGTGTGTGTGTGTGTTGGGGGGGGGGGTTGATGTATGTGTGTGTGTGTCTTTCTAGATGGATTAGGGAGAAGGATCTAAACAGAGCTGAACAAGGGAGGGTGGCTACATTGTAAACTGATTTCCAGGGAAGGAAGACTCGTGGCAAAGGTGTGTTAACTGGCAATCCAGCCGGGAGGGTCGCCCCCCCAGGCAAGAACGGGAGCCCCGAGGGGAGAGGGCTTGGCCTTGCCGGGGAGGGGGGAACGGAATTCAGGAACTTGGCAGGAATTTTTTTTTCTTTTTCGTACTTCGTTGTAAATTGCTGTTAAACACTTCTGAATTTTAAATTGCTACTGAATGGGTCCATAAACCGTTCTCGTCCAATTTAGTCATTTTTTTTATATTCCATTCCTCTTTTCACCCCTCCCCCCCCACCACTGCGGGGGGGGGGCCCTCAACTTCTACGTGGCTGCGTTTTCCGAAAGGCTGAAAGGAGGAAAACTCTGGAATGGAGACACTAGGGAGACTGGAGCCGGATCCAGAGGTTTTAAATTTTAACCTGAGTTCGCTCGATCGAAATGCCACAGCCAGAAGAGGTAGCTGCAGTTGGCCCGCCCTGCAATTCCCACCCTGACTTCAAATGTCTTGCTTATTTTGGGGAGGAGGGGGAAGGGGGTGCTTTGGTAAATTGTGGCCACATTGTTAAGTGGACTGAATTCCCCGAGCTCATTCGTAAGCAGTCACGTTCTGGGTTGTGTGTATTTCCTTTTCTTTCAGTCCAGTTGGTTGGAAATGTTTCTTGATTTTGCTACAAAAAAGAAAAAAAATTAGAAGATTGTATTCGCTAGAGGAATTAAAAAAATAAGAATAATAAATAACGCTGATTAAGTCCAGGCTGTGATCGGCCTTTAAACTTCAGCCCTTGGAAGATCGAGCCCCGGTGGGAGCTTGCTTTCAGTCCTGCGGGTGTGTGTGTGTGTGTGATTTTTTTTTTCAAATATGAGGGTGTACCAGTGACTTTCCTGAGTCAACCCCTCGCCCGCACTGGCCTGCCTTTCTCGACGCTGGACAGTCGCTTTGCCAGGGCCCACTGACCCTAGCGCCGCTGGGACAGAGGTGAGCGAACTGGGTCGACAGCACTCGGGCTCTATGGGTTGGGCAAGGGACCCCCTCATTTTACCCTGCAGACTCTCAACTGTGATAGTGCCCCCAAACGAAATAGGTCACCGTCCCTGTCCAGTGCCACACATTGTACTTTCTATTTTATATTTATTTTTAGATTGTTTTTTTTTGTCCCCACTAAATGTGGCAATGGAGAAACGTTGTTCTTGTTAGCTAAGTTAGAATAAAACAAAACTGTTTCACATGTACCGTTAATTAGGACAGAAATCCAGGCTGCCTCCGATCGGCTTGGCTCCGACTCGTGGACTCTGGCATGGGGGGGCCCGACACCCCCAAGAGACAGCGGCAAGTTGTTGTTGTTTAAAGCACCTTCCTGGTCCCTAGGCCCTGCCTTCCTCTGAGCTCTCAGCTGGCTCGCAAGCTAGCAGGTCCGGGGTGCTAAGGGGAGAGACACCCCCCAAACTGGGGGGAAACAGCTGGATTAGAACCACCCCTCCCCATCGAGATCAGGGTAGACAGGCTCTTAGGATCCCCCTACTTTTTTCCCCTTTGTGTTTTCTTTTTTCTTCTTTCATTCTCTTTGTTTTCATGTCCTTTTCACACACACACACCCCTGCCCCCGCTCCCCGTCCCGCTCCTCTTCTGGGAATGGCTAATCTTGAACGAAACCTTTTCTCCGTGGATTTATTGAGGCCCAGGGAGCGGTCCCACGGAAGGCGCTGTCTCCCCCTCCCCCTCGCAGAGGGTGGTTCCGGGGCGCGGCCTGTCCCCAGGGCTGATTGATTTGGTCCGCACCACCCCACGATTCGAATCCAGACCGGACCCAGCAGCCAATTGGGCGAGGGGCGGGGGCTCCGCTGTCCAAACGGAAGGGGTACCGGGGAACTCGGTGCGGTAGGCGCTTCCGGAGGCGCACAAACGCAAGTCACCGCACACCTTTACCCCCCACGTCCCCACCCCGCAACCGAACAGCCTTGTATTGTCACCGTCATTTCCCAAGGAACCATTTCTGGCGTACAACGTAGTTGTAAGTTTCGAACGTTGTTTTAAAGAACAGATTTATGAGGCCTTCTCCCTTATACCATATTTCTTCCTGTCTCGAAGTCTTTTACCCAAGGACACGAGGTTACTTTGAGTCCCCCTAATCGCTCCAAAGGTCCCATCTCAAGTGTGGGGTCTGGGAGACGCGTTCCCCCGCGCAGCAAATGCGAGCAACCAGAATGCTGACTCGCCGGCCTGAAGCCTGCCTGCCTTCCTTCCTTCCTTCCTTCCTTCCTTCCTTCCATCCTTCCTTCCTTCCTCCTTTTCTTTTTCTTCCTTCCTTTTTCTTTTTCCTTCCTTTCCCCTTCATTCCTCCTTTCCTTCTCTTCTGCCTTTTCTGTTTTCCTTTCCTGTCTTTCCTTCCCCTCCTCCCTTTCCATTTTTAATTCTCAGAAAAGCAAAAAAAAAAAAACGGCTCTAGAAAAGTCAGGTGGTGGCGGGAGCGCGAGATGGCCCGGGACGGCCCCGCAGCCTCCCGCACCGCACGAAAGGTCACCGCGGGGGCCTTGCCCGGCGCGTTGTTTGGGAGACTTCACGCACCGCGTCCGCCGCGGGCGAATCGGGGCGGCGGGGGGAGGGCCACGCGGGGCGCCCCAGCCCACCCTCATCCATTAGCCACCTCCCCCCCCCTTTCTTCTTTCCTCTCTCTCTTGAAGCTTGTTATCTGGGCCACCCATTGACCGACGAAAGGTTTTCCCTCCCCGCGTCTCCCACGGTCGCTTTAAACCAAATAAATCGAGCAATTAAGGGCCGAGATGCCTGTGGATAGATCGGAAGGTGTCTTTTCAGGCATCACTTGGAGAAGCGAACGAGCAGCCTGGCGGCTCTCTAATCCCGATAAAGACATTCCCCGCCGGCGCCGGCCTCCCTCCTCCCCGGCCTCCACCCCCCCCCCGGGCCTCCCTCCTCCCCGGCCTTCCCCCCCTCCCCAGGCCTGCGCCCCCACATCCCGAGGCCGCCTGCAGCGGCTCCTGGGAATCTCCCTCAAGCTGGGGGTGAGGGGACCCTGAAAACACAATCGGGGACCCGTTAAGGTCCCGGCCTTCCCCGCTTTGGGGGAGAGGGGAGGGTGAGTGGACATTGGGGTCCCCGGGAGCTGCGTCACTCCAGGTCTGAGCTGAGAGACTAAGGTGCCCGGCCTGCACTTGGCCAGGCGGCTGCCAGCCCACTCCATCAAGGCCAGAGGGGCCTTTTGATTGCTTTCTAATACTAAGCAGTAAAGACTAAGCACAACCATTCCCCACACACACGCCAGCCCCCTTCCCTCCCCGCGGTTCCTCCGAAGGCCACAGGGCTCCCCACTGTCTTCCGCAGGGGTCGGGAGCCGGACCTTCCTTGGAGCCCCTGGCAGAACGCGGTGGTGGATCCTTGTGGTGGAAGGGTGTGGACCCGAACTAACCGTGTGCGGGTGGGAGGCATGGCTCCAATCACTCAGTCATCCCCTCGAGGGTTCGGTGGTGAAGTGGGGGTCTTTATTATCATTATTAATTACGACTGGCATCACTACACAAACCTGAGGCTGCCTGCTGGGCGGAGTCCCCGCTCCTGGG